TCCGCCTCCTGGGTTCAGGCAATTCTCCTGCCTCAGCCTCCTGAGTAGCTGGGATTACAGGCACGCGCCACCATGCCCAGCTAATGTTTTGTATTTTTTTTTAGTAGAGACGGGGTTTCACCATGCTGACCAGGATGGTCTCGATCTCTTGACCTCGTGATCCACCCGCCTCGGCCTCCCAAAGTGCTGGGATTACAGGCTTGAGCCACCGTGCCCGGCCTTACCTTTTTGTGCATTTTACAATTAAAAATGATTTTTTGTTGTTGTTGTTTTTAAGATAGAGTTTCGCTCTTATCACCCAGGCTGGAGTGCAATGGCAAGATCTCAGCTCACTGCAACCTCTGCCTCTCAGGTTCAAGCGATTCTCCTGCCTCAGCCTCTGGGGAGCTGGGATTACAGGCACATTGCGGAGGTTGCAGTGAGCTAAGATTGCACCACTGCACTCCAACCTGGGTGACAAAGCAAAACTCGATCTCAAAAACAAAACAAAACAAAAAAATATATGTATATATTTCCTTCAGTCTGCACTGAAAGATCAAGGTCTTTTCTGTATTTCTAATACCTAGCAAATGGCATAACACCCAATAGCAGACGCCTAATAGATAAAAGTAACTGGATGAATGCATGCATGAATAGATGAATACATTAGAGGTACCAATCTTTGCAGCAATATGCAAGCTATCAGAGAAGCCTGTAGCATCTTGTTAAATGTTTTTTTCCCATGGCTTTTCATTGTAAATATCTATTTTTAAGTTATTTTGCAAACAGCTAGTGACTGAGTGTTAAGGACCCCTCACACACTCCAGGCTACAGGTTGCTAACCATGGGGTTCTGACAGACATCGTTCCTCATCTAGTTAGAAGTTTAAAAGAAACTATTCATTCAAGGTGGCCAGCAAGAGGGGCAAGAGCAGAGTGGAACAAAGATTATCTCACAGAAATACTAGGTTTGCGAAGATCATTCTGTTCCACCTCCTGCCTACACCCAGAGCTCACTCAGGACAGGAATCGCTCCACTCTATTCCAGAAAGCCAACAGCAGTAGCAGCGTTATCTTACCCAAATGGTAATAATATAGAGAGGAAGAAAATCCTATACATGATCTCAGTCTGCTAGATTTTAAATAAGTTTAAATAAGTTGCAGGAAGACTCTTAACCAGAGTGCATTCTTCTGAATCTAGCTGATTCCTCAGCCAACATCCTAGTACTTCTAGTCCTTGTTTGGAATACACTGGCTGCAGCCACGAACAGCCAAGTCTCTCTGTAAAGAATTATCTTTGCCCTTTAATTTACTTTTTTTACTTTTTTTTTTTTCCCCGGAGATGCACCCAGGCTGGAGTGCACTGGCGCCATCTCTGCTCACTGCTACCTCCACCTCCTGGATTCAAGGGATTTTACTGCCTCAGCCTCCAGGGTAGCTGGGATTATAGGCGCCAGCCACCACGCCCAGCTAATTTTTGTATTTTTAGTGGACACGGGTTTTCACCATGTTGGTCAGGCTGGTCTCGAACTCCTGACCTCAGGTGATCCATCAGCCTCGACCTCCCAAAGTGCTGGGATTACAGGCGTGAGTCACTTTACTGTACCCGGCCTGCCCTTTAATTTAGAACTTCATCTCCAAATCCTGCCAAAGCAACTGGTCTCTATTACAGTTGGAGTTCTCCTCCCAAGTAACTTAGAGACCTTAAGGAGGAAGTAAAATAAATATTTCGAACTTTGAATAGACATCCTCAACAAGTTTCCTCCACCCAACAGCTCCCATTTCAGTTCCTGTCTCCCCTCATTTTCTCCTCCTCAGAGTCCCTAATGGAAAGTTGACGAGCCCCAAGCGATCCCAAATGCCACTCCAGAAAAGAGGCAACACACATCATTCTGCATAAACTAATTGTAAAATCCTTTATAGTAACTGATTAAAGTCACAAGCCTGTTAAAAGACTGAAAACCACATCCGGATGGGAAGCCCTTTTCCTCCCCATCCCAGTAAGAAGTTTCAATTCTTATTCCCAGGGCTGGGGCTGTAGACGTGTGTATCTATGTGTATGCACCCATCCATGTGCCTGAATTATGGCACACAGCCTTTGAGCAGAGGGCTGAAATGAAGAAATGGGAATAAAGGTGGGTTCTGAGTGCATCTTTGGGGACTGGTTCCAGACCAAGGAACCAGGGAGAGAATGTGAGTACATTACAGGGGCAGAAGTAGGGAGCAATGTATGCAGTCACCCCCTGGGCATCTAGGGATTCCCAGTTTCTGAATGCCTACTTTGTGAGCTTACCAAGAGCAGGACATGAAGCCATTCCAGCAGATAGGGGAGGCTGCTCTCATTTCCTCCTTCCTCAGACCCCCAAGAGGATCCAT